CAGCAGGCTGATCTCTGACTGGACTAAATTTGTAGCTGATGGTTCTAGCCGTTCCATAAGACGCTTAGATGCTGCCAGAGCATCGTCCACAATGCTTTTCAAGCCCTCAGCAGCATCCTGCAACTTCTGGTGTTAAAGAGTATGAGGGGAAAAAAAGAACCAGTTAAACAGAGGAAAGAGAAGATAAGGACTGCACTGGAGAATTTAAGGTTATTTACAGTTGATTCTGTAAGCAACATTGGTTTCAATATTGTCTAACTAATGTCAATTAAAGGATGACTCCTTTAATTGACATTAGTTAGACAGTACTTCCTGCATTTCCAACATATTTTTGGCTTACTTCATCAATGACTGTAACATTGTATATGTTTTTCCCCCTCTCTTCAGAAACAAAAATTTTATTTTCTGCAAATGAACCTGTGCAGAGTGTGCCTCACATCTCACCCAGTGTCAGCTGGGATCGGCTCCAGTGCCCCCGTGACAAGATCAGTGGTATGGCTAATGGATAGACTAGTATTCTATAATACAGCACTGGAACCCGTGAGAACATGCTATGTCCAGAAAAGCAGTCATTGGGGAAAACATTTCATTAAACTGTGAATGCGATGCACAGGCTCTCTGAACGAGCACCAGCAACAGGATGAGTCAACCAAGAAATCTGAAGACCAAGTGAATTATATCTTAAATTTAATAATCATATAGAAAATCTCAGAGATAACAATGAGACTCCAACTAGGTCTAAAACAGTCAAAAAAGGTACTTTAATTAAAGTACCAGTGCTCTATTTATGGAAGTCTTGTTTATTACATCATGATCATTTTAATTCCAAAACACTCAGATGCAAACACCGGTTAAGACTGAGGGAGCTGATTTCTGTTAAACATCACTGCATTTCCAAATCAAGCCAGTGTGAAATCTGGATTTTGAATACTCACAGTGTAGTGCAGTTTCTGCTAAAAGCTCCCTGGAACTCACCTTGACTGAGTAAACCAAGGCCTGTGTGTCCCGTTCAGGTGAAGATGAAGAACTCAGCAGCTCCTCCCACTGATGCCACAGGTTTTGCAAGTGAAGGGAGCAGTGATCAGAGAGCAGACTGTACTCCTGCCAGAGGGAAAGTGTCTCCCCAGTCTTCACATGCTCTTCCTTTAGCTCCCACACCACGTCCTTCCACCTGACACGGCCACAGTACATTAGTACTTTCTAACACTATACTGTTTATTTGCATTCGGTAAGGCTACAATCACCTGATTAAGCTGTATTACATTATTTAATTTACATCTGGGGTGTTCAACTAATTGTGACCCAGGGACCACCATTCTGAACAAGAAGTAACCTGGCAACAATAAATGTGATGTAAAAATGTCAATAATTATAATAATGATTGATGATGATGATTCTTTCTTTTATGTCTGAATAGGATTTACTGATCACGTGTGTTTGTACATTGTCTACTGACCATTTTCGCTCTCCTTCCACTTGTTCATCTAGTGCCTGTACTACTCCATGATGAAGAGTCTTCACAAGACTCTGGTAGGATTTTTCCACACCTGTCCAAAGATCTCCTCCTTTTCCAGCCTTCTCCTGGAGTTGCTGCCCAAAAATAAAACGATCTTTCATGCTTAAGAGGTCCATTTACTTTAACTGGAAAGAACTGAGGACCTGACATCTATGAACGCCCACACATTTGACTGAATCTGTCAAACTAGATGGAGGGGCTTTTAACAGCTGGCTGTTTCAAAGTAAGCGCTTCTTTCTGGCATTTATAAATTGCAGCTTAAAAGCCCCCAGGCCTTTTAGATTTTGAACCAGCCTGCTGAGGGCATTGAAGCTGCAACATTTACTTGGATGAATGTGATGGTCATTATGAAAAAATACAACTACCCCTTATAACTCTAAAGACTTTATGCGTACATGTACAAGATGCTTTTGCTCACCTGCAGCAGGTTCATGTATTCCTCTGCCTGCTTCAGTGACAACAGAGGAGCTTGCTGATGCTGCAGAGCACAGCGCACCCTGGTGGTGAGCAGAGTAACCTCCCTCAGATCTTGGTCAAAACAACTCCACTCTGCAACAGTCTGTTGCAGGGTTGGTCTCAGAACTTCCATCTATAAATTACCAGAAAGTGAACTAGATGAGGATTTGTAACACTGTAATGCTTTACTATTGATATTTTAACTGTGTTGTTGCAATTAAGGTTTATTTTTGAAACTATATGCAAACATTTGCTAATTTTCTGTTGAATACATCCTGTTCTCATAAATGAAACAGCTACACATCTGACTGTACTTTTTTGACTTGATAGGTACGACAGGAGGACGCCTAGTAGCCTAATGAGCATAAAAGATAACTGTACACAGTTTGATTCCTGGTCAGATGACCTTTGTAGCAAGTTAATTTATTTATAAAGCACACCTAAAAATGACAGCTGATAGAGGTGCTGTACATATCAGGGTACAATAAATGACACCACTTAGTAAGATAATAAAATATTAAAAACACAGGACCATGATAGAAAGATCAACAAGGGTCAAACTATTGGGCTGGTTTGAATGCTAGTGTATAAAAATGGTTCCTAAGATAAGACTTAAGGGCAGCCAGAGAGGGGGCCAAGTCATCTCTCTCTGCTCTCTGTGCATCCCCACTACAGCTATGAAATAAAATGCAGAAATGATTTACCCGTTAAAGGTCTAATTTTTTCAAATTTCATATAATATCAGTCACTTATTTACCACTTAAAGCTAGTTAAGCTTACAGCAGCATTAATCTGTTTTTGAGCCATTTGAGAGCAGAGCTCCACAACGAGCTGACCAATCATCACATACATGTTTGACATATTATCTGACCTGTAAACTTTACATTATCATAAGCAGACAATCTGCTTTGGGCGGTGTTTCGAGGCCAGTATGTGACACACCATCTGCTCACCAATGCTTTTACAGCTTACGACTCACAGTATCAGCTTGTGCTTTACCACACTTTCACCTGACACTGATTTTTCCACATCTCTGATTGCTGTGTCAGATTTATTTTTTACCTGCTGACCAAGGTCCTCACAAGCATGGCTAATACTCTCTGCCTGGTTAGAAAAGGCGATATCACAGGGCTGTGCCTCTTCTTTTTCAGCATGCACTCGTGTGGCTTTCAGCTCCTGCAAAGCTTCTGCCACTTCCCTCGCTCTGCCCACGACAGCCTGGAGACAAACAGAGCAATCTGAGATTGGATGACAGCAGGAGACAAACAGAAGTGCTGTACACCTGTTTGCGTCCTGTTACTGTACCTCCCAGTCCAGCAGAGCCTTTTGAACAAGAGTTTGACTGGTGGATTGTTTCCACTGATTCAGCTGCTTTTTCTGCTGCACTATCCAACCATGAAGCTGCTGCAACCGCCTCTCTCTGTCTGCACAAGTGTGATGTATCTGCTCGGCTTCATGAACCTGAGGGGCCAAAGCCAAACAAACAGTGTCTCATTCATTCATAAATATAACAGACTTGGGAAAACTGCATTTGTTTTTAGTCTATTTGGAGAGTTAAAAATATGTCTTCACTGTTGTTGGCTTAGACGAAATTATGTTTATGGTTTGATTAATTGTTTCCAGTAACAGGACAAACCATCAGCCAGTATTTGTGCTGAGACAACATGTGTTTCTTGACAGCACAACAGAAGAACATATTCTTTGGAGTCTTTAACTTGCATGGAAACACATTCAGGCCCGGATCCAAGCAGCTACTCTGTACTGCTTCCTTTGTTAGATCAACATGACAAATTTTTACACACTTGACATTTTAGCTGGTTAGCATTGCCCAAACGTCAAACACAAATCCATCAATATCTCAAACTAATTTTAATAAGATTACCAGACCAGAAAATAAAGCGTAGGACAGCTAGGTCATTTCATTCCATTTGAGATTTGTACTGGCACTGTAGCTGGACAACTGACCTGTTTCCCTAGCTCCCACTGGAGGTGCAGCCACTGGAGTCTGAGGGAACCAAGTGTCTCTGCAAACATTGTACGTTCAGACTGGAGAGCCTGGTCATTTGCTGCCCCTGCCTGAGGCCCATGCTGGCACAGGAAATCCAGAAGGAGCTGCCCACTATCCACACCTGCCTTTAACTCCTGAAACAAAATATTACATATGAAGAAATCATTAATATAAATGAACTTTCTATATATCAACAGCCAAAAGAGAAAAATTATGATTTTCTTCTAAGCTTGTATAGTATGAAAAGTAAGATAAAGATGAGTATATACTGTACTTGCAAGTTTTTCTTATCACTGCCCAAGTTTTTATTTATATTTATAGAAACACTGTCTAAATTCTACAAAATATTCCCAGTAAAAAAGGAAGAAACATTCAGATGTCTGTAATTGCGCTGTAATCTAATTATACAGAACAGGGATTTTCAGCTAAAGAGAGAGCACCATTCTGACTAAGAAGTAACCAGTGGCAACACTGGATGGACGTTATTTTAATCCTAAAAATTGCCTTAGTTTGTCTAAATTTTATATATTTGTATGAATTTAATGATTCACAGGCAAGTAATACGTGGAAATGAGTATTAAACAAAATCCTACAGTGAAACTACGTTATTGAACACAGGATCAGGGACCACCTGCAATGTCTATGGGGACCACCAGGGGGCCACGGACCATAGGTTGAAAACTGGCTGTAGCAGAATACCTTTGTTCGCAAACAATGTTCACTGTATGAATCTTAGGTGAAGATACGTCATGTCTTGACTACAAAGAGAAGGAGCAGATGTTTTTAGATGATAAATTAAATTCAAGCAACTTTTTTTAAAGTCATTCAAATAAACCATATGAAAACTGGTGTTTGAGTTGAAATAGAAATTAGGAGAAAGAGATGCACAAAAATAAACGCAGAGATACATGTAGGAGTACCTGGTAGTGCTGCAGGGCTTCAATGACCTGAGCAGCATCTTTGGCCTTAAGGACCGTTTCTTTCTCCTGGCTCAGCCGACCCTCCAACATCTTCAGCCAGTCTTCCAGGTCAGACAACAACTGCACTGGTGGCCATGCTGCCAGCAGCTGCTAACAGACGAGACAGAGAGACAATGAGTCCAGCTTCACATGAATACTTTTTTCATTATTAGAATCATTCATCCAGCTGAGTAGTCTCACAGTAAACATCAATCTGCCGTCATAACTGTTAAATATTTCTTTAGTAGATAAGATTTTTTTCATCCTTTCCTGAGGTGACTGCCAAAGTGTAAGACATTGACGTGAACTTTTTGAGAGACAAACCTGGCAACGCTAATTTAATTATTATGAGGCAGAATATCTGGTTCCATTCGTTGGTGATAAATGTTGAGGAAAAATTAAGTGTCCTCCTCCTCCTTTGCAAGTCCTCCCTATCCTTAAACACACCAAAACTGATTTCAACAGGGTTTAAGTTTTCACTCCCTTTGCCAGAGGGGGTTTCTAAATGCCTAATTATTTTTGAAATCCACCAGCACTTCCATGGGACTTGTACCATTACATTTTAATTCACTGGAGGATTGGAAAGGAGTTTCAGGTTTTGACACATGTGGTTTGAAATATGGAAAAACAGAACCACCACAATACCATCATTTACTTAAACAATACCACAGTATAACATTTATCTTATCAGTACAATGCAGTTAATCTGTATTTAGTAGGGGGTTTTTCAGCAGAGGATAAAAACTCTTTGCAAACTGTACCTGCTGCAACTGGTCTTGTATCGTAGACAGGTCAGAGGTTAGCTGGCTCCAGCTGACATCCAGCTGGGCGAGCTGAGCTCTCAGCCCGAGACAATGATCTTCCCTCAGCTGGATCAACCGAGTGACTGTCCTGGAAACAGATGCCCTCTGCACCGACATGGCTTCCACCTCCATGCAGAAGTCCTGGGGGACAGGGTTAGAGGCAAACCACTCAGACAATGTCACAATGAGGCGAAACAATGAGGAAGAAATAAAAGTTAAAGCTAATGACAGGCGCCCAGGCTATCAGAGTTGTGTCATCAGTCGCAGTTAAGCAGCAGATTATTATTTTTATGATAATGTTATGGAATATTATTGTACAAACTAAAATTATGAGCAGAACTGTATGTGAAATACTGCGTAGTTGATTTGTTTGTACATCTTCCACCTATATTAATCTCACATAATGATAGGAGGTGCTATAGTTTACAACAAGTTACAATGTGTTTCACAAAGATGTAAAACAAAAAGAAAAAACACCAGGTCAAAGTGGAATAAAAATAAATAAAAAAACAATATTAAAATATATACAACAGAGATATTTGTGTTGTTGTTGTACACTTATGTGAATTATTTGTTGATTAAACTTAGATATGGTATTTGTATTGTATTTGACTTATTGTCAACAGTTACCACAAAAACCAACAATGAACTGAATGTGAAAAACATCTGCAATAACCCCTTATTACCTTACTAAGTGAAATACCATATCCAATTCCACTACGTAAAATACTATGTCCAATATTTGAAATTCACCATCTTATCTATTATCTTATTTTTGCATTCATGTTTTTATACCATGTTATCCTTATGTAACTTTATTTTTTAGACTAGGTGTTCTTTTTCTGGCTTTTAATTCTTTACTTGACTCCAAGAGAGCCCTGCATAAGAATTCCTATATGCCTAGACTGTTTATGCATAAATGGCAAATAAAAAAAACTCTTGAATCTTGATTTGATCTAACTAAAAGTATTTAGTATACCCAGTTGATCTGAGCTCCATTGTTGGTCACAACTATTAAAATGCATCAATGATTCACACACACACAAACAATAATAGAGTAACAAAGAGGTTAAAGCGTAACTGCATTTAAACCCAGAATAAAACCACGAAAGAGATTGCTGTTCAGTTGAATGCACACAGCCGTCAAGTAAAACTTTATTTATAATTCAATTAAAAAAAACTAAATCACAAATCTGCCTCAAAGGATGTTAAAATCTGTACAGTGGATTGAGTCAGATAAGGAAAAATCCCCTAGATATACACAATGCTGGTAGATAATGCCAGAGATTCAAAACATCAGACTGACCTTTTCATTTGGGATGTGTTTTTTCAAGTGAAATGCTTCAGTCAGTCAGTGCATGAAATATGGGAATGTGAAGGACAGACAGAAGAGTCTTACCAGCAGCTGTATCAGACGGCTATGAAGACACTCCTGGTTCAGGTCACAGGTGTCTGCCAGATCTGACAAAGACTTCAAATGTTTGTTGGCACCAACCAACCATTTACTGACCGAGGCAAAGTTTGTCTGGAATCTGTGGGGAGGACGAGAAAAACAGATTGCTCAGCCAGTGGGGCAGAACATGACTGCTCCTTCCTACAGAGTGAGCTAACCACTGAGGTATGAGTCCAGCACTGATAACCAGGGCTGCAGATTAGTGGCAGGTGTTTTATTTGTTCTCATGTCATGGCTGTACTCCAGATATAAATGTATTAAAAACCGTTATAGATTGACACCTCATTATGAGACTAGCATTACCTGGAGATGATTTAAGATTTCATCCACTGCTTCCATTTTCATGTGGGAAAAATCTGTTTCACTTAAAATCTCAAAAAATATTCACCAAATGGGATTGTCTGATGTATGTCCTTATACTGTATATTCACCTTTTGAGATTTTATGCTGTTGATGGATTTGAATTTTTACTTTTTAGCTCAATATTTAGTCAATGAAGCTGCCAAATTCATTTTAAAATATTGTCAAAGCTCCCATTTAATACTTCACACTGCAGCTTCAATACTTCTCCTAGAGGAAAACAAAAAACAATAAAAACCTAAAAAAAAAGAATCCTACTAATCAATATGAATCATTATACCAGGAAAACTTTACCGAGATTAACAATCTCTTTTACAGAATTGTCCTGGTCATACTGTGTGTCTTCATGTTGCACAACCCATAAGACAAGACACACTGCAGGACAAGGGGCATGGTAAAATACCATTTAGCCCTAAATGCCCAAATTCCTTTTATCACTCTTTAGTAGCTCTGGAGTGGAAAGAAACTTTGGCATAAGAGTTTTATTTTGTATCCATGAACAGAATTCATGTGTTTTTTTCTTAATAACAAAGAAATAAAGTCTTCAAGTGTACACAGTTTTTGTTTTTTAACTGAAGTTGGTATTTTTGCTACTGTCCCACCTGGCCCGGCTGTCCTGGATGTCTCTGCAGCGCTGAATCTCCTGCTCTGTCCGACTGTAGGCAGCCCTCCATCGCAGCTCCAGAGCGCCTCCTGTCTGACTGACTGAGGCAGCAAATGCTGGATACATCCGCAGCACATTCCTCTGATCCAGGAGCAGCCCTAAAGCAGCTCTGCTCTCATCCAGCTGGACCAATGTTTGCTGAGTGAAAAGGGGAATCAGCAGGGCTTTTGTTGAGATTACATCAAATCTATGAGACTGTTTGGACAATCAGCTCCCCCACTAACATTTGAAGAGACAGCATGGACCAAATGTAATGTACTATACAGAAACGTGTCCCTGAAATGTAACATGTCACATAAAAATGACAGAGGATGACATTCATAAAATGTTAAAAAAATTAAAAAAGTTAAGAAAAGAAGCAAATTAACAAAAAAGACAAGGAAGAAAAAAGTCAAATTTTCAGATGAAACTACAAAGTAAACTAAACATATTATACATACAGCAGTGAGGGCTGTTGAGATTCATGGAGGGTTATATTACCAAAAGAATTATGAGCAAAGTAGAGACTGAAGTAATAAAAAGGGAATTTACAGCAGTTCACAAAACGGTCCTCTCAATTTCTTATTAAAAGTAAGGAAAGTCTGCGAGATAATGAATGTGCACACGGAATCAAGATAAAGCCAGGAGCCCTCTAGCTGAGAGAGGCAGTGAGAGGAGTAGGAAGGGAAAGTGTGATCAGACAACATGGGCTACCTGGCAGGCATCTAGTCTGTGCTGTACTACAAAGTCCTCATCATCTTCTCCCTCTGGTTCCCCACTGATGATGAAGGCATCAAACTCATCCAGCACCCTGCCCAGTCGACCACAATTATCCTCCCAGTGGGTCCACTCCTGCAGCAGGTCCAAACAGAAACCCACAAATCTACTTTAACACTTGACTTGTGAGCACAGGCAAACAAAACAGAACATTTTGAAGGATTCCACAAGAAAAACTCATTTGTGTATGTATGAAGCCTTATGGCCTTCAGCAACGGTGCACTACAAACCTGGAGCCTCCTTTGAGAAGCTGCTTCCTGTTCCACAGCCTGTTGCTGCAGTGCTTTGGCCCGGATTTCCAGCTGTACCCGCTCATCCTCTTGATACCTGAGTGCTTCTGGCTCACATTGGAATAGATGCTGCACAAAAGCCAACTGTGATCTGAGGAACTGCAGGAGCTTCTGGATCACCAAGAGACGAGATTTAGGACAGAAATCATTGCAAAGTATGTCTGATAAATACAGCACCATGAGGAAAGAGAGACAAAAGGCAAGATTGAGACTAGACCTAAATAGTGTCTTTGTGTTAAGCCTAATCATTAGCTGTTTGTGGTTATTTTTGTTGTCTCTTTGAAAACAATCAAGAGCTTTTTAGCTTTCTCTTGGGAAAGTGCCCAAGTTAAATCTGGACTTTTCCTGCCTGTTGAAGAACTTCCTGAAAGCACAGGGAGATACCTGGTGTCCACAGAGGATGGCTTGATGTTGGCTGCAGTTGTGAACCTGGTTCATCTGCATTTCTCTTATGCGTTCTTCACCCAGTTCCAGCAGGCGAGTCAGCCCCTGAAGCAAGGACTGGGAAACCTGCTGCAGCTTGGCCTTTTCCCCTGGACTCTCTCTCAGATGTCTGCCCAACACACACTGCTGGGAGACACAGGAGAAGCACAGAGTTTAAGGAGAGTATGATTAACTTTTGAAACAGACTGTCTATCATGTTTCAATGTTTCCAGTGCAACTACAATCAAGTTTACTAGCGGATTTAAAAAAAAAAAATCATATATCGATACTAGTCTGCAGTTAGTAGAGGTTGCTGGATTCTTTTCTACTGAGGTTGTAGTCAGAGCCATGTTTTAGTGGGTATTATTTGGTATTTTCTTTGGAAAACCGAGCCATTATTTATGCACCAGGTCAATTAGTTACTTAACACCAGAATATTCATAAATGCACACACATACAAGGCTCTGTAACAGTGGTTACCTCTAGACTACGGGCATCTTTTAGACTTGAGATCTCACTCTGTCCCAAATCAAGTTCATCCAGAAAACACAGCAGGTTGGAGGCGAGCTCCTGTGTGACAGAGATACTGTGTTGGTTCAGGTGATGAACGAAATATTCAAAAGCTTCACTAGCAGTAATATCACAATGTAAACATACATCATTACAAGTAAAGGGCTTGCATTCAGATTTTACTTAAGCAAAAGTAAAGAAGCATTATCATTGTCAGTTTTATATTATTGTCAATGACTGGATTATTTTACTGAAGCATCAACATGTAAGCAGCATTTTAATGCCATAGCTGGTTGAGATGGAGCTACTTTTAATGACTGTAGAACGTAACTCTCTTAACTACCACAAAAGTAAAATTTTAAATAAAATATAAGTTTAGATACTTTGTATTTTTATTTTGCTACTTTGTTCTTTTTCAGTGCATTTCAGAGGGAAAGATTGCAGGTTTTACTCCACTACATTTATGTTACTAGTTACCTTGTATATTCATCTTTTACACACATCTTTACACACACACGCATGCACCTTTTCATGGGCCCCTCCATCTTCTGAGCTGATCAGGGTTTGATACTCCTCAACCTTTTTCAAAGTGGTTCGTTTTGGGGAGAGCTGGGTATAAAGTTGACTTATCTGCTCCTTGCCATCTTCATGTCTAGTCGGGCTGGGAATCCAACAGAACATACAATATGCTTGAGTGTAATGGATGCTACTGTATGTACAAAAGTCATATCTTATACCTGGCATTCTGCCTTTTACCTGACCGGTACTTTGGACTCTAGCGCTGCTTTGGATTCTTCAACACTACTCTGACTGGTGCTGACTTCACCTTGTGTCTTCAAACCACTGGGAGTGTCCTGGACATTGAAGAGAAACCAGGGAAACAGACAGGTTCTTACAGTATCTACAGAATTGTATTTGAATGTCACCTCAGAAGCATCACATTAGATATAACTGTTTAATAGGAAATTTGTTTTAAATGGCATTACTTTTCTTTCCCATGCGCTCACCAGATCTGTGGACGACGACAGATCATCCCTCTCCTCTGTGAAATTAACCGATGCTCTTATGGCAGTGAATGGAGTAACAGGACTTGCAGGAGTGAGCCCTGTATCTTCCACAGCAGCTGCTGCCTGAATGGACTTTGTATGAGGGTCAGAGACTAGACTTTCATCTGTTGGTGATTCACAGAGTTCCAGTACATCAGTAACAGTAAACCCGTCGTCAGCTGCTGGCGTGGCTGCGGTGGTGAGTGACTCGGTTGTCGCAGATGCTTCAGCAGCATCGGCTGTGGAATCCATTGTTACAAATTCAGCTGTAGCTCCAAAGTCACAGCTATCAAACCAGGACTTCACAGATAGCAGCACAGCCCCTTTCGAGCTTGTTTCCACTTTGGAAGAAAAGTGATGAGACAAACTCTCCAGTTCCTGAAAGAAAGATCTTACAGCCAATGAGTGGGCACCAGTATATTCAGTTGATAATTACAGCAGTGTCCAAAAATCCTGACACTGAAAAATTCATAACGCTGATGCCACTTACTATAAATAACTATTAGTTAGTGTGCGCCATCTAACAACGTATGAATAAATCCATGGATATCAAAAACATAACAGCAAATATTTGAAGGCTACATTTCAAAAATATGTTTTAAATGCACAAACCGTACATTAAACAAATATCAGGTCCAGAATTAAAACATGATTTACCTGAACATCAGAAGGTGGTGTAATCTCAGCAATAGCATCACTTTGCACATCTGACGCACCGAGCGTCTCCTCTGGGTCCTAATATATGTATACCATGAACAGAATTCATGTGACTGTGCACACACACACACACACACACTCACACACACACACACCCTGCATATACACGACATTCTCATTGTGTTTGTGTGTACAGTGTGAAAGGGGAAGAGAAGCAGCTGCTGCTGACAGTGCCAGAGTGGATCCAAGAGGCAACAGGACAGCCAGTCGGTCTCACACAGTCTCATATCACAATACAAACTAATGCTAAAATCCTCCACACCACAGGAAAAAGCAGCATTTAGGGAAGAAATTTATACGTGAATTATAACAGAGGAAAATTATGAGAAAGAGAAGCCCAAGAGTTTCATTCCTAAACATTTAGATGTGTAATTTCAAAAGTCTTAACTGTATCTATTTGTGAGGATCTGGATGGTTTGGACCAAATGATTTTTGACATTTTGGAATGAAACCAAAAGGAAAGAGGTACCCAGAAATGTTGCTGAGCTGTCACTATGTTTCAGATTTACCTCTGGAACACTGCATGTTAGTGTGTCAGAGGACGACGAATGACAGCTCTCATCATCCTCCTCCTCTTCTTCCACTGAATTAGACGCCTCAAAATCCTCCTGCTTTTGGTAATAAGGGTGAATAATATGATTAAATTAATTTAAATGAAAAACAATTGGATGTATTTCTAATGACTCTTTATTCCTCTTATCTGTAATATAACACTACTCCCAATGTAATGCTCAAGCAACATCAGTGAGGAAGTGCTTCACAGCTTCATTAGCAGCTTCTACTCATTTACCATGATTAGTTGGGTTTTTGCCTCTATAATAATAATAATAATAATGATAGTGATTTGGCGCTATACAAATACAACTGAACTGAAACTGGATTGAACCCCCATCATCGTTTCATTTTATTTGGAGCCTGGGAATCCTGGTCACTGTCATTTTTATTCCCCCCCCCCCAAAAGAGTACCACAAAATGTCAGTTTAAAAATGATTAAAGCACATGTGTTTAATTGGTTTGAATTACTTTGACTTTAGGTCCATGTAGCTAACAGTGAATTCAGAACCAGCTAAATATGAACTGTCAATGTAAGCACTCAGGAAGCATTGTTGTCTAACCCACCAACTCTCAAAAAAGACTTGGTGTTTTCCTATGTGCAGTGGCATTCATATCTCATGTTGTACCTCCAGCCGTGAGGTTTGTTGCTGGGTGAGATTTTCAAGTTCCGTGAGCGACTGCAGCAGCAGTTTGGCTCGGGAGAAGATCAGTGGGCTCTCCTCCGCTCCCTGTGGCAGGTGAAGCTCCGTTCTGCATTTCTCCATATCCTCCAATGTCCTTCGCATCAACTGCACATTGGCCAGGATGACCTTTAGGTTGAAAGAGATTGTATAAACTGCTGATAATTGATGGAGAATTGGCAGACAGTGACTAAATCACCACAAAACTGTTACCTCTCCACCAAACCATACAGTAAAGATTTTACTGTAAGTGTTCCTCAGTACACTAGTTCTTCATGTGATAAACAAGCGTTACCATACTGTACAGGTGCACTGCTTCACCTGTCGGTTGTGGACATGCTCCGTCAGAGGGATGTTAGAGTTTTCCATGGAGGATAAGATCGTTCTGATCTTCGGGACATTCTTCTCCATCGTCTTCAGCTCAGCTTCCATGGCCTCCACTACCTGAAAGGATTTCCAGAAACCTTAAGATTATGGACTTGTATTTTATATTTTAAAAAGTTTCATCTGCTGTTCAACTGCCCACTCTTGGTTTTACTTTATGTAAAACTATATTTGACTAGCTGCCTGGAACTCACAATGTGCAACAACACTAGCTCTGATTCAGTTCTAGCTGGGCCGGTCCCTTTTTACTGCCTATAGATGTACAGTACATGTTTGTTCCATCAACTACGAATTTCAAAATGTGGCCACAACAAATCATCCACTGAAAGATTCCACAGACTCAGCTAATTTGCCCCAGTGGTCACTAAAAGAAAATGTTCTCTGCACAAAATAAGTGGGAGGAATCTAATTTAGTAAAATAGCATTCCAGCAATTTCTTCTTAATGCTGTTTGGGGCAATTAAAAACCTGAAGATCTACAGCAAATTTATGGAAATCCCAAATCCTTATTTTAAAATTCTTACTGCAACAGTCTGCAAGAGCTGCTCCAGTGGCCCTAGGATGTTGCGTTGCATTTTTTGGATTTGTTGGTCATTCTGGTCCAGCCTCCCCTCCTGTGCACGGATGTCACACACAGCAGAGATCTCAGCCAGCACTGGCCTGAAGTCCTGCAGGGTGTCCCTGATCCTCTTAGAGTCATCCAGGACCAGCTGGAGTTCAGAGTTTAAAATTAAAGCCAACATGCTTGTGGTCAATATGCTGAACTTCACAAGTTTGCTTTTTACTTGGTGTCACAGACCTGTAGGGAGTTTGCATGACTCTGGAGGCTTCTGGCTGTTGTGAATGAGCAGGGAGCAGTGAGCCAGGACTGAGCCTCGTCTAACCAGCAGGTGGCGCTGCAAAGGATGTCTTCAAACTCCTGGAGAGAGGTGGGGATCTGACAAAGGAATAAAGAACATGTAAAAGCAAGGTGGAAGTTTTCTTAATACATTTTAAATTTTTATTTTAGAAGCAATTTCCACATTGATGCAGCTGTGATATAATGCATTTAAGATACATAATTACAGTCTGATAAATGGTTCCAGTTCCATAGTATTTGAGACCTCGCATTAGTACTTGTAATGTATTCGGTAAAGTACAATATAGCATAAATGTAATGCAGCATGCCCGACCTTGCTGAGGAAGGAGGTGCGCTGCTCAGCCCTCTGTGCTATTTTTTGATAGAGCTGCAATGGCTCTGTGAGCTGGTCCATGAGGAGGTGGACTTGATCTGTTTGCTCCTCTGCAAGATCCTGCACCTCGCTCTCCAAGAGCATCAAACAGCTGTGCCATGCATCTAAATTATCCCACACACGCTGGAAAACAACAAATGAACAGTATGAAACACGCCGAAGAAGGGCTGGAACGGCATGAGATTTTCACGGTATTATACAATTACTATCACCTACAACGACCCTCAAAGGAATGAAAACAAAAGGGTCTTTTATTGCATGTGAGTGTGCCACTTGATTGAGCTGGATTGCAGCGCTAGATTGACCCTAAAGAATAATCAGAATTATAATCATGATTTTGAAATGTTCTATTATGAAAGCACATTAGTTTGCATGTTAGCAACAGTAATAGCAGAAATATTCTTATCCTTTCTTTAAGTACTAATATCACACTGTAAAAGTAGCCTACTCTGTTACAATTCCTGCTTTGGAAGTGTTAAGTAAAATTAAGCATTATTAATTAACATATTAGATGTAACAGTAGACTACTCAATGCAGAAATACTGTTACATATTATTACATTAACAGCCTATCACTTATGCACTGATGTACAAACAGGATTTGACTGTAAAAGTAGCCTATTCTATTAGAGGTGGAGCTCTGCTGAACTATTTTGTATCCGAGTGCAACTACTGATTATTTTTATTATGGATTAACCTGCTGATTATTTTCTCCATTCATCGATTGTATGGTTTGTAAAATAGTAGTGAGAAATGCATCACCATGATCTAAATAATTAACAAAACAGTTGCTAATTTACTGTACTACAGCTGACTTCAAATGCATTGACGCCAACTGCTAAAATCTAATGTGATTCAAAGGTGATTTTTTTAAAAAACAACAGCGGTATATTTTATCAACTGCTAAAGAGTGAAGCATTCAGACTTGTTCAAACATTCGCACACAAGTAAACAAACTAAGAAACACACACACCTTGAGCACATTTTGAGCTTCGCTGACTGTGGGACTTCTCTGTTCCAGTAACACTTTTACTTTCTCAAGGCCAGAGCTCAACTCCGCCACCTGTCCAACCAGGTTCTGAACCACTTTGCTGTTTTCTATGTGCTGTAGAATGAACACACACACAAAAAAAGGAGCAGTTTTGGTGAGAGAGAGTTCATCCGATAGTAAGGGTGGATTCGTGCTTCCCGTTACCTTCTCCTCTGATCTTTGTAGAGACAGGTGAACGACCTGTAACCTTCTGCTGATATCAGCTGGAATTTCAGCATATCTGCTCCTCACACCTTCCATGATACACTGTAGTTTAGCTTTCTGTGAGGACAAATCCTTTTTGAGCTCCTGTCAGTGTAGATATGCAAGAGAAACATGAGGAAGAGAAAATACAGGAAACAGAGACAGGGTCAGATCTAAACTCTAAAGCTCTAGACTCCTTTACAGATTTGATTATTTTCCGGTTTAAGCTTCATGGTAAGCTTAAGTAATAATGGGGTGGCTGTGGCTCCCGAGGTAGGGCAGTCGTCTCCTAAGCAGCAAGTTGGTGGTTCGGCTCCCGGTCTCCCTGCATGCCTAAGTGTCCCTGAGCAAAACACTGAACCCTGAATTGCTCCCGGTGGCTTGACTAGCGCCGTTGTGTGGCAGCCTGTCGTCATCGGTGTGTGAATGTTGTGTGTGAATGTTGTGTGTGAATGGGTGAATGGTGTATGATCTCCTGTAAAGCGCTTTGGCCAGTGCAACACACTGTGAGAAAAGCGCTATATAAATACAGTCCATTTACCATTTTACCAAAATCTTTCACAGTACTTGAAAAGACCACTCACAGCATGATGTCAAGCTACAGTACACGTAACTTACAGCTGCACCCGACAGCAAAAGACATTCAAAGAAGACAGGCTAAAAGACACTCTTAAGGGTTTATTGCCCACATATTGTATGTACAAAATCTCATATATGGCTTTCTTAAGCCATTTAAGCCTTTCTTAAGCTCGCCTCTGCCCCTGGACCATAACCCACCACAGAACAGACAAAGACTACCCCTGCTGTTTTGCACAAGCCTTTTTGTTATATGTAAACCTGCTACTGACTGTTTTTTACCATCATATCTGCTGCTGGTCATTTCCACTACTGTCCATATACACCTCATATGCTATTATGCACCTCATCACCAACGCCCTGGTGATGCTAACCACCTGACAATCTTTCTGCTATTGTTTGCACTACTGTCACTGACTGTACACGGTTTGAGTCATAGCCTATAGGGTGTATCGTTTTTATCCTAATTTCTTTAATCCAGTTTCTTATTCTATTTTATTCTACTTATTCAATTTTAGTTCCTAAATGGTATCGCACTCAATACTACATGAGAGAGAAACGGCATTTCGATTTTCTGTATGTCCTGCACATATAGTGAATTGACAATAAAAATCTCTGAACCTTTAAACTTAACTTCATCTATCAGCAAAATCTTAAACCCCAGTTTTCAAGATTCTGAAGCATAAAAAAGTGAACCTGACCTGTTGTTTGCTTGGATCTGAACATGCTTCCAGCATAAGAAGAGTAGCAGATACATGTTTCTCCACCTCCTCTATCTTGTCTTGAACTTGCAGTCTCTCGTTCTCCTCTGCCTGAGCTGCAGCTACCACCAGCAGATTCCTCTCTTTTAAGCTGTGGGAAACAGTATCATCTCAGCATCTCTGATATACATGAATACTCACTCTCCACATATATGTTAAACAAATCCCACCTCCTGACATTCTCTTGAATCTTCACCAGTGTTTTGCCAGCAGGTCCTGGACTGATCGGGTCCTGGGAGGTGGACAAGCTCAGAGCGTGCTCCAGTCGATGTTGCAGGGAGGCTAAGGCCTGCTGTACCTGCTCCAGACCAGCCTGGTGCAGCTCAGCATGAGCAAGAAGCTCCTGTGGCTCCTCTTGAGTGGAGGTCACAGTGGAGGAGTCTGGCACTTCAGCCTGAAGACTGGCCAAAATACTGCAACATTGTTCCATCTGAGGAAAATATTAGCTATATATTCATTTTCCCTGCACTTTATGTTGTGTTACAATCATTCAATTTTGTCTCAGAAAGCAATAGAACAGCTTTATGAAGCCCAATCCCTCAGTTCTGTAACCCTCACCAAAACAAAAGTTACATACAGAGGAACAGATTGGTTACCATTTTAATTTTACCTTTGTTTGTTTCTATTATTTATGTTTATTAGGTTTATATTTAGATGCATAAAAAAAAAAAAGATTTGTGGTTGGTAAAACTCACACTTGTAGTGATATCCTTCCATTCTTCTCCTTTCTGTTCAGTATGTGCCATTAGGAGGCCGATACCTCGTCGTAACGATGCCCAGCGCCTCCAGAGAGCGCCCAACTCACTGTCTTTACCAACCCCACAGCGCCGCCTTGGGCATCCAGCCCTCAGTTCTTCTATCTTCCTAGACAGGCTGTGGAGATCCTCCATCATTAGCTTTGTGCAGAGATGAAAGCTTAAGGTCAAAATTGCATGCAAACAAACAAAAAAGTATTCCTGTACCACTAGTAAAGGCATGAACAGGTATCAAATTGTCAAAAAGTGGATTCTGTGTATATGGACAAATGAATGTTAAAACCTGCAAATCAACATCAGCTTACTGTAGCTCTCTTTTGCTGAGCTACACATTTGTCATACGACGTCACTTGTGTAGCAGCACATTCCGAAAGCCTGGCCTCAAACCTAGAGAGACGCTGCTGGACATCTTCATGGAATCTCCTATGGCTTTGCTGTCTTATTGAACACCTGTGAGAAATTTGTCTTTTAGATGATTTTACTTTTTAAGGTTATGAACAAGAAACAATCACATCATCAAAAGATAAAAAGGTATACAGATGTGCTTTTAGGAACTGAGATCAGCCCAGTACCTCTGCAGGGATTCCAGCCTAAGCTGGGCCTGGGCCTCAAGTACAGCTCTTCCCACCAACAACTGGCTGAGAATCCTGATGTGGAGCTGCTCAATCTTTGGGCGGGAGAGGCAGGGTTGCTGGGGGACCAGTTCTACAAGGTGACAACTACAAGCCTGAAATCCATCTTCTAGAGCTGCTAGAGCCTGTTGGGTCTGCTGTTGTTCCTCGCTACAGTCCAAAAACCCCCCAGGAGCTGACAAGAATGTGGCTTCAGCATTACGAAGGAAGCCTATTGCTCCTTGAGCTGCCAAATGATAATCTTTCAAGGATTCTCGAGCCTGAGATAGATTCTCCTGTGGGATACATGTGACATAATCAAAGTTTAGAGAAATAACACACCAAAGTTAAAAAGACTCAAAGGAACAGTAGGCTGGCTCGACCCTGAACATTTAAGCGTACCATTCGTAAACGGCACTCCTGCATGGCTGCATCTCTAAAGGAGTGTAGCTCTTTGTAGTTCTTCAGGTTAATTTTTTCTTTCCTTCCGAGACCTTCCAATACCCTCATCCCAGACTCCATATTTCTCCAAATGACCCAGTATTTTTGCAGTGCATCATCTATTGCTTTTTCATCTGGACTGACTGGTTTGGCTGCTTCCAGCTCCACTCTTGTTCTTTGGAAAAGATCAATTAAGGCAGGAAGTTCAATAGAAAACTGCAAACCAAACAGAAGCTTGGCCTCAAGGTTTTTGATATCATCTGTGACAGAATGCTCCCAGGAGAGTAAAGTTTCCATGGTACTGTGAATTCTCTGCCTCTCTGAATTTAGCTCGGCTGGGAGCAGCTCATGAGCTATGGCTTCCAGTTGGTCACTTGTTTTTTGACACAGAGTCTTTGCCAAAGGGAGTTCAACAAGGAGTGTTTGGCATAGTGTGAACCTCTCATCCATACTGATTGTGTCGTCTCTGATATGCTGCATTTGCTCTTTGGCAATGTCCATAGATTCCTCCATTTGTCTCCTCAGGTGAAAATATTGGTCTTGCTCAAAGGCAATGAGACTAACAGCTCTGCATCTGTCTTGCAGTTCCCCAATGGTGTACAGCAGGGAACTTCGCTTGTCCTCCTGGCAGTGCTGAAGCTCTTGTACTTGACATTGATGCTCCATTAGCATGTGCTTCAAATGTACAATAGTTGAAAGGGTTTCTTGTTTTAAAGGGGATCTCTGCTGATTCAAATCAGTGGAAATTATCTTTAAGCTACCCTGGATGTTTGATAATTCCTCATCGGAAAAGGTCTGTTCATGAATCAGCCCTTCTAATTCCCAGCTGGTTGCTTTTTCATGAGCTAGCAATCCGTCTAGTTGCATCCACAGACCTGATAGTCTGTTGACAAGGTGGCGGCTCTCTCCGGGACTCAGCCCTACTGATATGTCCTTACAGCTTTCTGCCATTACCTCCAGCAGATTTAGTTGGCTCTCTATCTCCACAGTGTCTAACTTGTGACACTCCAGCTCACTCTCCAGCTTTTGGATGTCAGCTCTGGAAACACTTTCAATGTGGGTGCAGGGGTCTCTTGCTGCATATTTTTTTGCTAGCCAGGCGTCCAAGCTCGATAACTGAATGAGCAGTTTCTGCCTCTCCCGCAGATTTTTCTTCATCTTGTCAAGAACATGATCCACACTGTCAGCAACGGCTTCATACAGTTCTTCTATTGTCTTTAATACTTGATTGCTTTCCTCCTTCTCCGTGTCAGCAGTTAGGTCTTTCAGCTCTTCAACTTGTACTTGCAACTTTGAGTGTCTAGACAAAATATCAGTTTGGAATTTCTTCATCTCAACAATTTGAATATGAGCCTCTTCAGGGAATAGAGCTAACCTTTGCCCAATAGAGATATGGTTTTCTGCTTTCTTAGCCCATATGATTAAGTCTTGTAATTGCTTATTGACCTTAACTGATGAATTGCTTCTACAACTAAATGTGTCAAGCTTTCTCTTGGTGACATTTAGCAAGGACCCCAGTTCTTGAAGATTATGTTGGATTTCACCCTGTTCCTTCTGACCTAGACAGAAATGGACAAGAGCATCTGATTGGGATTGTAAGTCTAGATAAAGCTGGATGTAGAGTTTAAGGTCTGTGGTCAGACAAACTAATTCTAAATCACTTTTGTTGTCACTGCTTTGAAAGCTGGACTTCTGAAGAGCTTCAAGCTTGGCTTTAAGTTGATCAGCTTCTTTCATAAGTAGCACGAACTGTGAGGTGGAATTTGAGGCATGCCCCAGGGCTCTTTTGATGCTTCCTTCTAAAAGCCTCCATTCTTCCTGGACATCTCCAAGCTGGGCAAGAAGAGCAGCCAAACTTTCAGCGTCACTCAAGAGGACTGACAACTGGCTTCTTAACTGGAGGAGCTCTTCCATCATACCTTTCTTCCCTTTCATGGTTTGCAGCAGGGTGTGGAGTTTGTCAGTTTGAACAGCACTGCTTCCCAAAGCATTTCTAACAAAATACACAACAAAATAAAATGAGTACACCTTATACACACACATAAATTCTATCAGTGAGGGTACAAGTACAGCAAAAGCTTACTATCAAATCACAAGATTACTCACAAGCTTGATTTTTCTTTTTCTGTAGCTACAACCTCCAAGAAAGCTCTGATCATCTTCATCTGTTTGTGATACTGTTTGACCTTCTCCAGCTGTGCTGCTTTGACCTGCACTGTGGCAGAGGCATCCAGCAGTGCTGCATTCCATTGTCCTTCAGCGCTTTTCAAGGCATCTGGGTCACAAACCCTGGCAGCACTAATGCCTTTGATAATAGCTACTTGCTCCTGCACACAATGTCTGTACTCCTGCAGTAAACAAATCAGGCTTGACAGCAGATTCAACAATTTTCCTGCATTACTGCATTACATTCTGAAGTATAAAAAAAAAATACTGGTTAATTATATTTTGTAAAATAAACAAAACTGAAGTTCTTTTGTTCAAGTTGGTACATAACTAAAAACAATGAAGTAAAATGTACAGTAGTACGGTACGTACCTCTGCCTCCTGCAGTTGTTTGGCCATAGCAGTGACATCAAGTTGTGCTGGCTGATATCGGCACGCCAGAACCCGCTGGACTGTTCGCACCAGTTGAATCTCTGATTCACCAGGACAGCACTTCAGGTACCAATTTAAATCCATGTGTGGTGTCCTCTATAACATAACCAAAATAGAATGAATGGGACACCTGTACTGAAGGAAAACAGCCTGAACCCCTACTGGCAGGAAAAATGGCATAAAATAAAACCAAAAAAAACCCATCTCCTAAATACATACAGATATTAACTTGTTTACCCAATTACATTGTGGGGGGAAACGCAACTGCTGCCAGGATTATGTTCAGCGGGAATGTTTTGAGGAGATGGTGGGAATAATGATCTGTTTTTCCAAATTTGCATACCACCACGTCAAGTCAAGAACCGTTCAAACTGCAACAGCACAAACCACAAACTGTGTAAAGCTGTAAATTAGACCCACTAATGACCCAGCAGGAAATCACCATCTTTCACGTCAGTCCTGTTGCAGCATCATGGGAATACATCAGAGTACATGCTGCTACTCCAATCTGTTCTCTGTTCCATGTAGGTATAACCGACTGCTTGCTTACAGAGCTACAGTACGCACTTCATATTACTGAAACGCTTGAAACCTAATTTTCATCTCAGTGCCCTTTTGCTATATTGTGTGCAACAACAGAATACAAATTTGTGGCATGAACAGTGAATGAATGATGTTCTTACTCTAATCTTTTCCGTCAGTTAATTACCACATGGCAACATGTTTTGCGATACATGAAACTACAGTTTTCTGTATCTAAGTCAGAGATGTTTTCTTTAAATAAAACCAGCTCATACTCACATTTATGTTCCTTCTTTCCACCAAGCTCTCTATCTCAGACAAAATATCCTGCATGGTGGACCTGCGTTTACAGGACTCTGATGATCCACCTGTTGCGTCTCCAGCACCCAGATCAGCCGACGAAACCAGCGTAGTCTTCTCAGCCTCCATGCCTTCTTGGATCTCAGGCTGCAGACAGACAAGACAGGGGTAGCTATCATAGTTTAGCTGCCTTCTTCTCCATGTTTGTTCACAGATAACAGCGCTTCCTGTTCTTTCCCTGTACTAGAGTTGTAAATATTTGTATAAATGACAGCCAAACAAGTCAGTACACTTAAAAGAATGTGTCCAAGTAGGGCGCAGTCTGCCCTGAAGAAGGAAGAATCCGTTTCTTCATCTATGAAGTGCTGCCTCTTTAAATAACTATCAGATCTGTTACAACTTGGCTAGAAAGGGCAAAACATGACATGAACTGCTAGGTTACAAGATTACAAACAGGGGAGGTGCCTTTAAAAATATGTTGGGCACAACCAGGGTGTGTGTCGTAGCAGGGCTGTAGGTAGAGCGGGGAGAGGATTTGAATGTACTGCTTATTACAGCAAACAGTGAAGTGCACATAACCAATGCAAAGGCTTTGAGTGGCAACTAATAAGTGTGTCACTCTTTTCTTTCTGGAATTAAGTGTATTTTTAACTACAGTCTGAAATAAGCACTTCTTACCAGCATTTCAAAGTAAATTTCTGAACATTGTAACTGCACACTTTAATATTTCTAGTTAAATCTTGAACAATGTAAAACCATTTTCATACTACAAGTGAACAGTATAATATTTGTAATCTTTTATTATTATCTCATGCAGTTTTTTTCTGACAGCGAATGTGATGTGAGCACTTCCTCAGTTTTTCTATATGTCAACAGTGACATTATTTTTGCCCTCTTGCCTTACAAACCTCATTTCTCATGTGCCTGGGAAGCTACTGGAGCACCTTCTTAAATTGACAGGACTAATTTGGACACCACATGAGCACATAACCAGTCGGCAGGAGCCAGAATTATTGTTGACTGGTAGGGGATCAAATACTTATTTTACTCACTGAAATGCAACTCAATTTATAACATTTGTATCATGTGCTTTTTTGGGATTTTTGTTGATATTCTGTCTCCATCCTTTAGAATAAACCTATGATAAAAAATTATAAACCCTTCATTTCTTTGTAAATGGGCAAACCTACCAAATCAGCAGGGGATCAAATAATTCTTCTCCCCACTGTATGGTCAGTAGGCTTATTTCCACTGTTCAACATGCAATTTAGCATGTGTTACACACTGTATAGTATCATTTTGTCTTGTGATATGCAGTAAAGCACAGAAAAGAAGGCAAATACAATATGGATGTCATCCATTTGTCATGAAAAAAATACATTTCTCTCCACTGGATGAGCAAAGCACCAAAGAAAGAAAAATGACAGAACTGTATGACTGGACTTTATGATGTTCAAATGCCAAATGTGAGAGGAATAAATCCAGAGAAAATTCTGCATAAAATTATAGTTGCAAAATGTCAGAAATACCCAAGTTTTGGTAAACATGCAGCCATTTTATTCTGAGGTTAAAAGATGGAAAACAGGCTGGTTTGTAAATGTCAAACCTACCTGTTCCTGCATCTCCCTTGTGTCCTCTAGTGATGAGGGCAAGCCTGAGTCACACTCTTCTTCTAGCAGCAAAGCACTGTCTTGTGTTTGTACCATTTTGGAATCTTTAGACTCTGGACATTTGGGGTCACTTGCTTCTTCTACTTCTTCTCCCTCAGCCATCTCTGCATGTCCTATATCTGTGCTCTGTGCAGTGTCAGCACCCATCAACTCTTTACTGTCACCAGCAGGTATTTGCATTTCAGTTAAGGTATCTCCAAGTTGCACTGAAGCTTCCACAGTGCACAGGACTGAGCTTACCGTTTGCTCCTCCATGTGACAGAAATCTGTCACTTCTTCTGGTTTGACAGCCACAAACTTTGTTTCTGCTGCATGTGCACCAGTAAGCTGACATTCAGAAAAAGTTTCACATGAACTGGAGGAATTCAGCACCTCACTGCGCATTAATTCATGGGTATCTGAGTTTTCTGTGGATGACAATTTGGCACTTGTAGATTTTACTTCCTCCAGCTCTGTACTCTCTGACAGGGAGTCTTCCACTTGAGACACATGTGATTTAAGACTCTTTAAATAATGGCTTCTCAACACTGATTCAGGACTGATTAATGCTGTGAACAACCCTGATTTTTTCTCAGGAATCCCTGTGCTTGAAACGTCTGAGAGCTTTGCATCACACGGCTCTGATCCCTTCAAACATCTGAGTGAATCGAAGGTGCTGGCCCAATCATGTTCGCTTTGCTCCATATCCAACATTATTGTAAACACTTTATTTGAACTGATATCCTCATCTCGGTGAACAACAGGACCTGCCTTAAATATCTCAGATTGTGCTGCTAAATTGTGTTTTTTCAAGTCTGGTTTGTCCGATTCAGGACCAGTTAACATAAGCAGTCCAGATTTCTTCTCGGTAGAGTCTGTGCCTGAAACAGCCATGAGCTCCGCATCATACAGCTTTGTTTTCTGAGAACATCCTAGTATGTCTGGACCAACATTTACATTTATCTGCATGTCCTGTGGCTCCATCTCCAACACAACTGTCAACACTTTCTTGGGAGTCGTTCTGAGGTCCTCACAGTGTTTCTCTTGTTCTTGAAACATCTGTGACTGTGCTATTAAATGCTCAAACACATTTTCAGGGTTGGAAAGGAGGATGTTGTCAGGCTTTGTGGATGGTAATCCGACCAGGGATGTGACACAGTGCGCTAAACTGACATCTTTGTTACTGGCTGTGCCTGTCTGAGCTGTTAAACTCTTTGCATGTGTTAACTGTTGTGATTGTTGTTGGGTTTTTGAGTTGGAAAATTCTGGGATATCTGCACTGGGGACATGATTGGGTACAAAGGTCTGTTCTTTGGATGTTTGCATAAGACTCTCTGCTTGGTCTTGTTTTGTGGCATCAGCTACCACATTAGATTCTCCTGAAGCGTTTGTGATGGGCTCAGTCAAATCCAAACAACCTTTGCTTTTCATTTTGTTGTCATTTTGATCAGTTCCTGAATTTTCCATCTTGTCATCTGCAGAAGGGAAAAGAAATGCTGGAGGACACGTGACCATACTTTCATCAGGTGGAGCTGAATGTGGTGCACCACATTCACTTCTAAAACTTTCTTCAACAGATTCACCCGTCAAATCTTCATTGTCTAAATCACTAGGACCTTGACTGACCTAAGAAACCAGTGGAATTGAACCAAACTATTAATCACAAATATTATCATCATTGTTTTGTAATGTAAAATTCCATGACTGAAAAAAATGAACACTCACCAGGTATTTTGACAGCATTTCAAGGGCAAGTGTACTTTCACTGAGAGCATTTGAAGCCTCTTTTTCCAATGACTTGGATACTTTTGAACCCAAACAATTTAGCAGGAAGTCTTTTTCTGAGAGCACTTCACGGAGAGAATGTTGCAGCTGTAAACCTTCATCCAGAGCTGCCTGTAAGAGCAGTCAGGTAAACAACTCACAAGACCTTATCACAGGTAAACTATATCTCAGTGTTGATGTACTCAGAGATAATTTAGTTTATTGACCCATATTGTGTGAAGAAGCCCTTTACAGCCTTGAGGCTTTTCTTACAGTAGGTCATTGCTAGTCATGATTCATCCTCTGGAAGCATTTTCATAGGCATTACTTTATTTATTGTTCATCTTAAGGCCAGGGTTGGGCTAATGCTTAAAGAGTCTTTGGCAGCTAGTATGGCTGACGGAAAGATGAGTCACAGCATGTTTGTGATCTTTAGTACTGCCAAAGAGCAAACCATCGAGGAAATAAGCACCATCGTCCCTGTGAGGACTATTTATTACGTTCACTGTGCACCACATAGAGGACAAGGTAAGAACACAGGACTGATCTGTGGAATTTATGAACAGCTCTATAAAACAATGTGGGGTAGAAAAATCATGCACTTTTAACACAAAGTGCAGGCTGGATGTTTCAGCTTTATGCATCCATGAGAACCACTCACTGCCTTGTACTTTTGCTCCTTAACTAAAAGTTCAAAGCAACAGACAAAAACATGAAGGGGTCAGTTAAAATCGAGAACACTTCAGTGGCTGTATAGCAATGCAACAGGTAAGCCTGTTTCACAAACACTTTCTTTATATAATCTGTGTTGTAATATATTTGATTAGAAGACCAATGAATGGACACCTTGTTGTGTTTACCTGGCTGGGCGATGATGGCTGAGCTTGTACTGTTCGGCTCCACTGCTGCAGCTGGCTGATGGCCTGTTTCACCCTGACAGCAGTGCTTTCTGCACACTCATGCTTCTTTTGTAGAAAAATGGACTTGATACTACAGTTAGAGCACAAGAGAGAGAGAACGAGTTTATACAACTATTTTAAACATTTTAAAAAATTACATCTACCAAGAGTGTAGTTTCAATAAACCATGGTTCTTTGGTCTTAAAGACATCAGGTAGCCATTATTGCACTGCAGTTGTAAATGATACTGAAGGCGTTCAAATCACATTTCCCATCAACCCTCTTACCTGCTGTTGCAAAGACAGATTTGCTTTCCCCACACCCTTTTTTCTGGCATAGATTTTAATAATAATGTTGGAAATGACTTTTTAACAACCTTTCATGCTTTTGAAAAATCCTTAAATAAGCTCTGGCACCTTTACTTTTATTTAAAATAACAAATAAAGGTAAAGAACAAGAAAGGTTTACTACTACTAGCAGCTTTTCTATTGAGGATAAGGAGCGAGTACCTGTCAATGTCTTTAGTAACTGCATCGACAGCCAAAATAGCATCTGCATGAAGCATTTCTTTCGACTCTCCCGTCTTCTGCATGTTGTAAAGTCTCGCAACCAACTCTGTCAGCCTGGTATCACACAGCTGAAAAAGAAATCAATGCTTCTTTGATGAAGTAAAGCATGTACTCCAGAACTTGTTATACAGTAAAACAACATTGTATGAGATCTTTTACTAGTACCTGTATAGTACCCCATTGCTGTTTGAGCTGGCTAATGTCAGGTGACACTTCATGGTTCCCATATAACATTTGCACATTTTCTGTCAGGTCTTTCAGTGCTGCCTGTACACAGGCCACCTCTTCCTTCACTTGCTGAACTCTCTGGTTGCCATTTTCTTTGAGCAGTGTCAGCTTTTCTCTGATGCTACTATCTAGCACCCTCTTGTGGTTCTGGAGGTTTGTGACTTGCTGCGAAAGGCTGGCCTGGGCCTCGGCTGTGGAACTGGATGTGAGCGAGTCCTTGAGTGCTACAAGCTGCAAAAGGTCTTTTTCTACACTTGTTACTTTTTGCAACAAAGCCTGAAAGATGGAGAGAGTGACTGATAAACATGATGTGTCATCGGTGGCTAACTATTAAGAAAATTCCCAAGCCCCTTTATATAAATGACTATCATGGCTTTAATGTAGAAGGAAGGCAAAATAAAAATGTTCAAGAGCTTGTACATGATTCAGCAGGTCACTTTACTTAATAGACCTCACCTCCAGAGCTGGTACATCAGTGAGCAGTCCAACTGAGCTTTCTTTTTGGGCTTGACAGGCTGACATCGTTTCCTGCAGGGACATCAATTCATGGTCGCAGTCCTGCAGTAACTGGCCAAAACACTCCTCATTAATCACACCTTCCTCGAGGCAGGAGCACACACCCTGTGAACATTTTAGTCACACCAAGCCACAATCAGAATGCTTCGTTTCAACTACACACACTTTTTGTGCTTGCACTGAACAGGTGGTTCTCAACCTTTTCGTCTGACACAGCCCTGCATCTCTGCTAGATGAGCTCAAGTGCCCCGCTCACTGAACCCACCTTTCATGTTACTAATATTTTACATAAAGTGGATATTGTTACAATACATGTTCATACATAT